TAAGTGCCGGCACCCAACACCATGTAATGTTCAAGTGCCGCACTCAATAATTTTTTTTGTATTTTGAAACATCAAAAATCACAAAAAAATTTAAATTATTATACTTTATTCATTTTTTTTAGTTTTTACACTACGTCAATAATCAAATTCATTGTTGAAACGTCAAATTTTGAGTACTGTCAAATTCAGTATATAAGTGCAGTCAAATCATGTGTTAATATGAATTAGACAGTTCTCAAAATGTAAAAACTAAAAAACAATGAATAAACTCAAATAATTTTATTATTTTTGTGATTTTTGATGTTTTAAAATACAGAAAAAATTATTGAGTGCGGCACTTGAACATTACATGGTGTTGGGTGCCGGCACTCATAAAGAGCGCGCGCACCTATTTCGGTGCCCGCTCTTTCTCGGTGCCTATAACAGCTCTGATGAAAATGTGCGGTAATTTTCATAAATTTCATAACAATTTCACAACGAAACAACATTTTAGTGCATAATTTTGATACATCGCAGGAAAATGCGATGGGATTTCCCAAATGCTTGGGCTAATTATTACTATTCGTGTGAAATGTTCGTTTAATACATGTCATGAGATTTATTGTCTGGATTTTATGTCACTTGGATTTTACCTTAAATCGAAAGTGAAATCTGCTCGTGTCAAAGTGGGAAATAGAGAGAGAGAGAGAGAGAGGTGGAGTGGGGATGGGATTGTCTACATTGTTGCTCGATGCACGTGAAAGGGCCATTAAGATGCTCTATTCTGGTTGATTAAACCCAACGTTTATTTGTATACATTTTTTTGTGTGCTTGTGCTACTGCTGCTGTGAAATCAGAACAAAGTGGCTTGCTGTGCTGAAAATGCAACAAAATTGCGTGCTTTCGATTGCTTGCTGTTGAAGGTTGCTTTCAATTTCGGCGCATTCCATTTCGTTGGTTCACAACCAACGAATAAAAGCTCAATGTTTTTCTTTTATTCCTTTGCAATGACAACATTACCATCAATTTTTGTCAACAATGGAAAAATGCCACGATTTCTTGCAATGTTTCTGCATTTCTTTCACTTTTATTTTTGTCGATCGTAGTGCGAATGCGAATGAAATAATACACATACAACAAACAAGACGTGCGATACCCACGTGCCGTTGGCCACATTCCACGCCACCATCTCTCCACTCTATTGTTGTCGTTACTTTCGCTATTTTTCCCCGTCTTCATCTTCTTCTTCTTCTTTTTTTGCATGCGTGCGTGACGACTTGCTTATACCACATAACCTAAACGCCCAACAGTTTTTGCGCCGAAAACAAAATACAACAAAGGGAAAGCGCGAGAGAGCGACAGAAAGGGAAGGGAAAAAAAATATTGTCGATTTTCGTCCAACAAACGATGTCCAACACGTTCGAATCGAAAAAGTTCATAAGTTTTTCTCGAGTGACAACGATCTGTATCCTTACTTAACCATGCTTGGTTTGGCTGTGTTTTCCTTTCGTTTTTCAATGTCTGTCGCATTTTTTCCTTCGCTCTGTTGTTTAAATGTGTGCCACCATCGTCGTCGTCGTCGTCGGTGGTGGTTCGGTCAGGCGAATGAGCGCGCGCGCTCACTCGCCTCCGTCCTACTCCTACTTGCTTCGTTGTCACCGCAAAACATTTGACTCATGTATCCTAAAGCATTATCCACTTAAATCTATTACATGTTTCAATTAAGTGCTTGTTAGAATGTTAGCATTCTCAAAGTTTCGCTTCGGTTGAACACTTTTTTCTCACACACACTAGTCTCTTTTCTGCCACAGTCGTCGTCGTTGTCACCGCCGTTGTCGCATTCGATTCATGCTTAATGGCCACTGTAGCTCTTGATTCACATCATGTGTTAGAGCGTGAAAGGTCATTAATAAACAGTGTATCGACCGAATAAAGTGGCAAATTGAATAAAATTGCTTTTTGCCTTGTTGTTAGCCACTGTTAAGTTGAATGCTCTTCGCTGTTGTGTTATATTTTTTCTTTTTTTCTTCATTTCTCTGCAGCTCTCAACGGCTAACGAAAATGTTAACATTCAATATTGATTTGATGAAAGAAAATCATGTAATGTGTTGAGACAGCCGATATTTTATTTGTGTTTTTTGTTGTTGTTGTTTCATCATCATCAAAATCGACTGACTTTACAGAACGCTGTTCAATTTGTCCATTAATTTTGCACTGGTTTCTCGAGTAATCCTTTTGTAGCGGCAGCCGGACGTCGTGCAGCCCATTCATTTATAACAAATTCACATCGACTTAGCACGCGCGTTGTGCCTTTTATGTTTCCGTCATAAATTAATTAGGAGCCATTCTTAAGAAATTGATTATAATCAACAATAAATTCTAATCATGAAAATAACATTTCAACAAATTGGCCCTGGTTGGCTGGTTCGATCTCCGAACGATTGATTGCTTTTTGATTATTCAAAAGCGGGTGCTAATTTTAATAAATGACCACATTTTATGCAACTTTTTCGAGATTGAATTTTGATGCACAGGCACACACCCAATGAAACATCGAGTGATTTTGAAATGAAATGAAAAGCTGTCAAAAGCAGCCAGAGCGTCGGTAATAACTCACCCAAAATTTTATCCATACATCGAAACATGTTCATAATCGATGCAAAAACAATCTTTGGCTCCTTCTTGGCCGTGGCGTGCGCACGTTACGGAATGAAAATTCCCACATCGAATATGAATTTTTGACGCGAGTCAACAAATATTCGCAAAAGTAAAATTGCTTGAAAATTAGCTACATTGTCCGTGAATGGGAATTTAAGTGAAAGTTAATTGGCCTAGTTGGAAAATGGTAAATCCCGTGAGTCGTACATAAACTTTTTCCAGCTCTGACTTCAGACTTCCCAATGCTTCAACACACACACACACACACACACACACACACACACACACACACACA